GAATGCGACACTTGCTTTGCCAATCCTCGCCTTTACGTCTGCAACAAACAATAGACAAATGGGAAATTGGTTATTGATCAGTTTAAATTACAATCTGTTTTACTAATTTAATCAAGTTATTTTTAGCAATGAGGTAGAAATTAATTTAATTAAATTTTAAATTATAACAAAGAAATGACTATCTATTCAGCATGTAAATAAACAATTCAATTTAATAGGAGATATTGAACATGGTCTATTGCATTATGTTAAACAATAGAAACTATAACTGTTTATTCTTCCACAAACAATATTAATAAGTTATCTTATTGTAGAATATTGAATATATAAGTCATTTATTTTCAAAATTTCCACATATAAAATGATTGACAAATTATTATTATCAGAAGGGGTTTTTATGGATATTATAATAATTTCAATAGCTGAGATCATGAGTCAATTGAAGCTAGAGTCGGGATCTTGGATGCACATTGTTGAGGAATCCCACGATAGGACAAAAAGGCCGTCCATTGCTTTCAGATTTTCCATGGTGGTCTAGCTTCAGCTGACTCATAATCCCAATTATTGAAATTATTATTAATTTATTAGTTGGATTCATGAGTTAATTAAAGCTAGACCAACATGGAAAATCTGGAAGCATTGAACAGTTGTTTTGTCCTAGTATGGGACTCCTCAGCAGACAAACGTGTTCAAGGTTTTATTGATTGGAAATGAATACTAATAAATTAAGACAAACGTTTATATGTTAATTTACTTGGTATTGTTTGCTTGTATGTTTAAATTGTTGTTTAATCTCTTGTTGGTATATGTGCATCGTGTGGGGATTGTCTCGATATTCTCTGAAGTCACAAGCTTTATAAGCGAAGATGGATGGTGGATAACAGTGAAATCCGGGACACGCGTTTTGTCCTATTTAGGACTTGTCAGATAGATGTACCTGCATCCCGGAGTTCATGTTCACTCTGGAACAAAAAGAAGAAAAATAATATTAATCTAATAGAAGATGTAATTTCATATGGTATCAATTTATTAAAAGCTAATGATAATTTCTTTCTAAATGTTTAATTTGCCATTAACAGAAAGTTATGAATAAAATTCATTTGATGCTTGCAGAAACTTTTAAGTCAAGTGCATTTTCCATTTGTTAGAGAATTAAGCATATTCAGTCAGTCAGTCAGTAACAACGTAAGACTTCGTACGAGCATACATCAGTTCGACTTGCCATACCAAATTAGCACAGAGATGCAGTTGTCGATCCAAATCCCATTGTGGTAGAGGTATTAGGAGTCTAAGCAGTAATCAGAAACATTAGGGTTTGAAGATATTATTCAAGAAGTATAATCCAGTGAAATAAATTTGGAAAGAGAAAAAAGAAAGGGACATGAATAATCCAGAAGATTATAATTTAGGAGAACACAAAGAGTGGATGCATCTCCACTATTGCAAACGATTTTCAGCCATGTCATTCAACGTCTCTAAATATCGGTTGCTATCATCTCGCGGTCCCCAGCCGGGCAGTCTACACCTATCAACATGACTCAGTCCACTTATCAGTGATTTCATGGATTTGTACCACGTTTTGATCTGGCCACCCCTAGCTTTCTCCCAACCTACTCCTAGTCCTACACCATAAAACACCGCACGTCAGAGCAGTCGGTGGTAGGGCATACGTAACACGTGTCCAAGACATCTCAACTGATGAATTTGCACTACTTCATTAATTTGTGTGCCATCCTTACCCAGTACCCGTATTCTAACAACTGGATTACTTACTCGATGGTTCCAGGATATACGAGCAATGCTTCGAAGACACTAATGATCGAATACTAGTATCCTACGGATATCCTCTACTCTTACCAGCCATGTTTCACTGCCATAAAAGTAGGACGGAACGAACTGCTGCGCAGTAAACACGTCCTTTGGTTGATAGACGGATATCTCACCTACGCCATAAATGATGCAAGTTGGCAAAAGCTAGTCGAGCCTTCTGTATCCGTGCTGAGATTTCGTCACACACCAGACCACAAGGGTTGATGAGACTTCCAAGATAAGTGAAGCGGTCGACACACTCAACTACTTCACTCCCTATCACTAGTTCGGGTGTCGATGTAACCCAGTCCTGAAATAACATTTTTCATTTCGAGGGAGAGAATCGCATCCCGAACATGCTTGCATTGTTGCTTAGAGTGATCAGAAGACTACATTTTGTCAGCGTCTTCACCAAATAAAACTATGTCATCAGCATATTCTAAGTCAACAAGTGAACATCCCGGTAGACGTTCAACCCCTGGAAATTTAGATGAGGAGAGTGTTATCTCTAGAAGCATGTCTACGATAAACCTAAACAAGAATGGAAAGAGTGGACAGCCCTGACGAACACCACTTGAGGTAATCAATTCTGATGACAGTTCGCCATAAGCTCTCATTCCACCAGCTGTGTTCGAGTAGAGAGCCTTTGTAAGGTTAATGCACTTCTTTGGTACTCCTTTCAGTGACAAACATTGCCATAGAACCTCACGATCAAGAGTCGAATGCCGCCTTAAGGTCGAGAAATACTACGATTGTGGGGCGTCTGAATGTGTCTGTGTTCTAGAACCTGACGTAGTGTGAATATCTGATCTATGCAACCACGTCCAGGTCGAGAACCAGCCTCTAGTCTGTTCTTCACGAGCTTTGGTTAGGCGTCGAAGTATTATTGAAGCTAATATTTTAGACACTATATTAGTCAAACTAAGTGGTGGACATCACTTACATGGCTGCCTAACTGTTTTTCTAGTTGTTCCTGAAATAAATTCTTAGCTTGTTGATCATTAAGTAGGACCCTAAGAGGTTTCCTTGAAGCATCTTCCCTACGTCCATTAAGAATCAGAGAAATACGCGCTCGTTTTATCGACCCCCTCCACCGGTGGCTGATAACGATGTGATCTATTTGGGTCGAACGTGGTGACGAATTCGGGGTCGCCATGTCAAAAGATGTCTTTTCTTATGCTTAAAGTTAGTGTTTGAAAGAAACAGGCGGCTATCTCAGCATAGCGGCAACAGACGGTCGCCGTTATCTGTTCTTTGAACCACGACACCATAACATCCACCCAGGTGTCTTTCCCTGTTGCTTAGTTTACCTACTTAAGCATTAAAGTTACCAGCCACTATTACTACATTAGAGCGCATAGCTTTTCGGAGAAGGTTGGAAAGCTTTCTGTAAAGTTATTCGTTTACATCATCTGAGACGCAGTCAGTGGGAGAGTAGGCAGAGACGACGAATAGGCATCGACGAGTGTCCTTATCTTTCCGAGTCCTTGCGGTTCCGTTTAAGGATATTCATTAGGTAATATTGGACGTAGATTTTGTGCTGGCTTGTACTCGTCAACAAGACATATCTGTAATCTTAAAAGAATTTAATCCTCTCACTGGGATTTAAATCGCCATTATCCAACTTCACAGTTTAAAGCAGTAACGCTGAGCTATTAAGGAGACATTTGAGCTTTTGTAGGGCTGAAATATTTATAGTTGATTGATTACTGAGTAGTGACAATTGCCATGATCGTTTTGTCCTTTGGTATTAATCCATATCAAGGAGATAAATACTTAAGAACCCGCTATTCTTTATCATTTAAAACAAATGTGAAAATATTTAATCAATATTCTAAGGAAGTTAATCGCTGTTTCGTTTCTCAATTCGTGACAATCATGCGAATCTCTGCTATTCTTTATTGTTTCGTTTCAATAAAAGTCAAGGATGGTGCTTTTTGAAACAAATTTAGTGAATTTTCACAAGCTACTTATTTCAGTAGTGGCCATGCGCTCATTGATAATTATTTTTCACTTCTAACTCCTTAAGTTCAAGTTAAAAGTTTTAATCGGGATTCAATCAGTTTTTTTTACTTGAACACTTAATGAAGATTAATCTTTTAACAGAGGTTCACTGGATATGAAACTGTAAAACTATGAGTTTCAACTCACTGAATTAATTGTGTGGTAATCGCTCTAAGAACCAGAGATATTCAATTCAATTTCGTATTAAGTCTTACCTATTTCACAGGTTGAAATCATGAGTCAGTTGAAGCTAGACCACCATTGAAAACCTGGAAGCACTGGACGGACGTTTCGTCCTAGTATGGGACTCCTCAGCAGTGCGCATCCACGACCCCGCACCACGCGGGGCTCGAACCCAGGACCTGCTGGCTTCGCGCGCGAGCACTTAACCACTAGACCACTGAGCCGGCATCCAACGGTGTTAATGTCTAACTTCAACCAATCCACGAAGTTGCGCCACCGTACACCATTGTCTTCAGTGAGTTGTTATCTCACAACAAACCGGTTGAACTCCACTGGTAACGGCTTCTCACTAGAACTTCAGGAGTTTTTCCTGAAGTCAGTCACTAGTGAGCAGTTGATTATTATTATTATTATCAGAATGGGTTTTGTGGAGAATTTTAGAAATTTCACAGGTTGAAATCATGAGTCAGTTGAAGCTAGACCACCATTGAAAACCTGGAAGCACTGGACGGCCGTTTCGTCCTGGTATGGGACTCCTCAGCAGTGCGCATCCACTAACTACAAGGAAACATCCAATGATGTTCATCTTTAAATTCAATCAATTCTAGATATTGGCAAACCATCTTTCATTGCCTTTGGTAGGTAACTACCTCATATCCGACACATATGAGTTTCACTAGTAACGACAGTGTTGATTGCTGACATGAAGGAAATGGGTTCTGTATTGTTGATACTGGTACTAAATGCCAACTGTATGAACTAGTGACAACCTAATACCTCAATCCTGTAGATCATGCAGGGAAAAAACGTGGCTTAATATAAGACAGATAACAATAACCTAAATCTTTTTAATACACATTTCATTATCTAATGAATACTTTCTTGCTCATATTGATTGTTGACTCAAATACACTCATTCATTAATCTGAATTAATGAGTGTTTATCTCAACTTATATTGATTCTACATCTTGTTCATTTTTCAACAGATTGAAACAGTCTTTATTTAAGTAAAATGAAAATCATTTCTACTTTTATCTCTTTTTTCAGTTTTTTTCTTTTCTTGAGCATATGACCTAATTATGTCATTATTATTATTATTTATACTGCTATTATTATTATTATTATTATTATTATTATTATTATTATTAGTAGTAGTAGTAGTAGTAGTAGTAGTAGTAGTAGTAGTAGTATCAATGGGTATTAACACAGATAAAATGATTCTCATCAGTTTTTTTTTCCTTTATAAATTTATTCATAAATAATATCTCTAAGCGTATTAGGACATAAGCGAATGATAATAATAAATGATTTTCTCATTTTAAGAACTGAAATACAATAACTTTCTAATCATTTGTAAATGATGAAGAAAGAAAGCAATTAGAAGAGACAATTACAGTCACAATTATAGTCACCAATCAATGGAAAGAAAATAAACGTTCAGTTTTCCATCCTCGACGGTTTTGATAACAAGTACGCCTGAGTTACCTTAGACTAACATAGTGGTCAATGGTCAGCTACCATAGTGAATATATTGTTATTGATGCATTGTAGAGATTGAACACGGTGGATCTGATGCAAATGTGAAGGCGCGGATCGGCAAAGCAAGAGCAGCATATGTACAACTGAAGAACATCTGGAACTCAAAACAATTATCAACCAACACCAAGGTCAGAATTTCAACACAAATGTCACGTTATCCACTTAGATACTGAGTTTTGATAGCAGCCTGCTTGTCCAATGGGGTGAGGTTTAAATTCACTTGGTGTTGCTTTACTTGTATCTTTCCACTGTCATTTAATACTGCAATTGATCAGTCTCTTGCTGGCATATGTGCATCTTGGATTCCACTGCTAGCCACTATCCATCTTTGCTTAAAAAGCTTGTGACTTAAGGCTATATCGAGGCATAGGCACAGGATGCACATATGCCAATAAGAGACTGATCAATTGTAGTCCTAAATAACAATGGGAAGATACAAGCAAAGCAATACCAAGTGAAATGTCAGAACAGTTCTACTGTATGAGGCGGAAACCTTGAGAATTACGAAAGCCATCATCCAGAAGATACAAGTGTTTATTAACAGCTCTCTATGCAAAATACTTCTGATCCGTTGGCCGAACACTATCAGCAACAACCTAATGTGGGAAAGAACAAACCAGATTTCAGTTAAGGAAGAAATTAGGAAGAAGCGCTGGAAGTAGATAGGGCACACATTAAGTAAATCACCGAACTGCGTCACAAGGTAAGCCCTCACATGGAATCCTCAAAGTCAAAGCAAAAATGGAAGACCAAAGAACACATTACGTCGAGCAATGGAGACAGACATGAGAAAAATGAACAAAATTTGATATAACTGGAAAGAAAGGACCAGGACAGAGTGGGTTGTAGAATGTTGGTCGGCGGTCAATGCTCCATTGGGAGTAGCAGACGTAGGTAAGTAAGTAAGTGAGCATTATAGAGATAAAATCTGACAGATTTCTGTTGTTTACCAAAATCAACAAGTAAGTCTACAAATGCACATGAATGTTAAATATATTCTAAGTTAACAAATCAAATATAGAAAGTAGAGTTTAACAATTAAACATGAATAGAAATTCAAGATTGTATGAACTACTATACACCGATCACTCAAAACATCAGAAATTTAGTCCTTCAAAAATATTAAGATGTAAGTAGATCAAACATTTTAATACATCCATTTTTCATAGACAAATGAATGAATAAAAACACTCTTTAATCAGATGGACTTTATAACACACTAGACAGAGAAGTTCAATCACAATGATTATCTACGATCTGTCAGCTCATAGTTAATCAACCATTTATGATCTAATAAACTATTCACTTTAGTACTTACCATTATTATTTACTTTTATGGTTATACTTCTTAATTTCTACTCCATTAAGTCTATAATAGTTAGTTTCATAATTGATTATCTGTTTGATTACCTTAGCCTAGTCTTATTGAAACTATGATCCTCATGAAAACCATTTCATTCTATATTGTTTAAATAAATGCTACATTGGTAGAAAAACAATAATTACTAGATTAATTAAGCAATAAATATTTTTAGTCAGTTTTAGATTTCACTTTATATAATCATATGATCTTTTGACATAGAGACTGGGTTATTTTATTGAAGCACCCGCTGACATAAGTTGACCTTGGTCTTAATTATGAAACGAATTCTATAAAATGTGTTAACATTCAATTACTAAAGTACTTATATTCTTATTATTGTTACCAATAAATGGCAGAATGAAAGAGAGTGTAAAAAAGGCTAAATAATATATAATATAATACTGTAGTCCTAAACATCAATGGGAAGATTTAAAGAAATAATACAAAAATAAATTATAACTTCACCCTATTGTACAAGCTAGTAGCTATTTGGAATCAGTAGTTAAGTAGATAACGCGATGGTGTTTGAAGTGAACGTTATTGTGGTTTGAGTCTCGGAGTAAATATCAACACTAAGATGTGGGTACATATAGTTGGCCAGGATGAAGCATGCGTCTTGGATTCCATTGCTAGCCACCATTCATCTTTGCTAAATAATACATATTTATAGCTCAGTTAGTAAACTGATATACCTAATGTAATGAAAAATAATAAAAAAATTATTTAGTTAAATAAAATCACCAAGCTGTTACGTCAAGTTTGAAAGGCATCATATCGTTATTGATAACAAGGCATTTAAACTTTGTAGGTTATTCATAACTTATGAAAATAAAAACTTGTATACTACATTTAGCATTTACGCACTTTAAAGTTATCATTGACCAAACAATCGAACTACCGTAATTCCCATTATAATGATCAATCTCACGTTTCTTTAGTATTTTTAGTGCTGATTATCTATCAAGTTAGAATGTTGTCACTAGTCTAACTGACTAGATATCGTGTACATAATCTTGGGATAAGAAATATTATGTCTGCATTATGTTCTAGTTGGCATACGTGTAATCTTTAGGGAACTGATACTCCCTGACATATTCAAACCTAAATCATCTAGCTTCTTCCTGCTAGGAACTGGACGCCGGAACTACCAAACAACGAACACCCTTCGAAATGTTTTAAATCGTATAAAAGAAGAAATCCTCTCTATGTCTATACGGAATAGAGTCTGCAAGTTAGGATGTTCCGATCGTGATGTTTTTTATGTTGGAGAGTCATCTCGTGAAATCTTGACTCGAGCCAAAGAACATCTCAGGTATACAAAAAAACCGCCTAATAATCCTATAGAACTGAAAATACTCTAAATTAACTCGTTAATAGCAGTTCATGACGGCTGATTGTAACCATGTTGCTTCATTTCTCTTTCCAATGTGATATGTTTATCATATTTTCTTTGTATAGATCAAATGGTACTAATCGGTGAATTAATTTGTACTTGTGATATCTAGAATCTATTCAGTCATCTATAAATATTTGTATGTATAGTTTTATTAAGTTAAAATCATATACCTGTTTTTATATGTCAACTTACAGTTAAAACTGTATTTTCATATTGGTTTACCGCTGGAAAATAAGCAGTTACTCCGTGAAGACAATGGTGGACGGTGGCGCAATTTCGTGGATTAATTGAAGTTAAACATTGACACCGTTGGATGAAAGCTCAGTGGTCAAGAGGTTAAACGTTCGCCCGTGAGACCGAAGGTATCGGGTTTGGATCCCTCCAGGCGGGGTCCTGGATGCTCGTTGCTGAAGAGTCCCACACTAGGACGAAACGGCCGTCCAATGCTTCTAGGTTTTCCATGGTGGTCTAGCTTTAATAGACTAATGAATTCAACTATTAAATTACTACAATCTCCACCAAACCCCCTTTCTGAAAATACGAATCAGTTTACTATCCTATAAGCTAATAACTAATGAAAGAGGAAAAAAGGAATTTAAGTGTTTTCTAATTTTTTTGGTTTGTTTATTTTATAACATTTCTTATGTAACCCGTTTGAAATTAAAATGTTTATAATAATATCGTCAAGAATAGGCTATGTGTTTTTTCACAAGTTGAAATCATGAGTCAGTTGAAGCTAGACCACCATTGAAAACCTGGAAGCACTGGACGGCCGTTTCGTCCTAGTATGGGACTCCTCAGCAGTACGCATCCACGATCCCGCACCACGCGGGGCTCGAACCCAGGACCTACTGGCTTCGCGCGCGAGCACTTAACCATTAGACCACTGAGCCGGCATCCAACGGTGTTAATGTCTAACTTCAACCAATCCACGAAGTTGCGCCATCGAACACCAATGTCTTCAGTGAGCTGATATCTCACAACAGACCTGGTTGAACTCCACTGGTGACGGCTTCTCACTTGTTTGTACAAACGAGTATGTGTAATCTACATTTACCGTTTAATTTAATATACAACCTTACACTGTAGTGAACGTGAACAAAGTGGGGACAATCGGTTGTATTTTAAACCACATTACAAAATTTCTTGGTAAAATCTGAGAACTATGCAGGAAATACTTCATTTGCAAAATGTCAATCAATTATCTCAGACATCATTGTTCTTTCATTTCCACAGAAATCATTCTCTGATCTTGTTCTCTTTTCTTCGATATTTTTAACCTTCTATCGTCAGACATTTCACTTTCAATTGATGTTACATACTACTTATATCTATCGACATCAGTAATACACACCACAAAAGTTTCATTGGTCATTCGACCCATCTTTTATGTTTGTTAGGTATTATATCTAATTTTAAGTTCACTTTAATCACATATAATGTTCGGGATTGAGTTTTGATTGTCATTAATTTTTAAATAATCCCTCTCTTTTATAATCCATTAATCCTTAGTGGATAAGTTATATGTGTACTACGATTATAACAAATAATATCCTATAAGTATTGGTTTCATTCGGATTTTATTGATTCATTCTAATAAAATCAATAAAATTAATTAAAGCTGTGACCAGTGGAGCTAATCCATGTCGGGTAGAAACAGGTATCTACCTCAGTACAATGGAAGATGGTCGCGCAACATCGTGGATTGCTTGAGGTTAGGCATTAACACCATTGGATGCCGGCTCAGTGGTCCAGTAGGTTAAGTGTTCGCGTGCGAGACTGAAGGCCCTATCTTCGAATCCCGTGAGCAGGATCCTGGATGCGCACTGCTGATGAGTCCCACAATAGGACGAAACGGCCGCCCAGTGCTTCCAGGTTTTCAGTGGTGGTCTAACATCAATCAGTTCATGATCTCAATCAAAAACTT